AAGTAAAAATGGAGTCCTTTATAGGTTGATTGCAGGTCAATTGGAAATGCATACGGTGTATTCTATGTGCAACTCACAGAGTTCCAAGCCGCCTGGAGCATATGATCTCCATAGACAAAACATGGTTCAATTTCTACCGCCAATCAAAGAGAGATCAAGCAAAAGGATTGCATAGCCTTGGAGAGAAATCAAATTCGGTGGTAATGTCGAGTACGTTCGGACGTAAGGTGATAGCAGTACTTGCCATTAACATAATGGGCATCTGCCGCTATAAGGCATTTGCTGAAAATGACACGATGAATGCAGTTCGCTATCTCGGGTTCCTCAGAAGACTCATGAATTGTTGGCATGGCAATAGAGAGCATGTAGTTTGGTTACTTAATGAACAAATCATCATCGTTATGCTTCAATTACTTCTGGATTGACCAAAGGAATATTGATCATTGACTTCAACGCGCATATATTCCCGATCTAAGTCCTTGTGGTTGAAGGGCTCTTCATGCGATAGGAAAGATAGCAGGTGGGTAAGCGTATCTCACTATCGACCTACTACTAGAAGAATGGAAAGGCTGATGGTTCAGAAGCTGCGTATAAATTAAAAGTTGTCAGAGCGCTGACATAAATCTGTAAAACGCAAAAAGTATTTTTAATACAACTTAAAAAATCATCGCTATAGCCCAGCTAGCTCGAAGGTTTCTCCTCAAAAAAAATTATTTCAAAGTCCGCCGGATTCATTTGTAACAACCTAATATATTGTAATTGTAAGATGACGTCCACCATGAAATAAGAGAATAAGTTTGCGTAATACTGATAATTCCCGTAGAAATGCGTCAGTGTGTGATGCTCTCTGTAGTAACGTATATGCCTTACTAACAAAAATATATGAATATAGACATTTAGATATTAGCGGCAGATTTTATACATGGCAAACGGATACAGAGAGCACTAAAGTATAATTAACGAGTTCAGAGGTCCAATAACGCTGCTAGGTCAATTACTCATATATGGACCAGTGTTACGGTTTAATGTGTCCAACTTGTCAAAGCCCTTAGCATCCAGGTGGTATTAAATTTAGTATAAGTCTTTCAGTTTTTACGTTATTTGTAAGCAATTCACCTTTATTACACGTATTTCATGTATTTTTCGTACATCCACATAGACATATGTATCCAGGCATCAAATTGTGTTACAAAACCATTAAATTGACAATGATATGATATACCCTATAATGGAACCAACCATAGCAATTACCAGACGTTCCGTTGAATTGATCAACAGTGACTCAGCAGCTCCAACACACTGACTAATTGCGGAAGTCTTTCACAGCGACTACCACAGATTAGGGGCTGTTTTGCAGACAGATGCATTGGGTTGCTCTAAGTCAGTACAGAAGCGTAGGCCATGGATAAGCTTTTTATGGAGCTGGAAACAGGCCAGCAGAAACTGTGATGCTCTAAGGAACGAAAGAACGAATCAACTGCATGATGCCATGCAGATATGCCCTTAAAAATGCCAAAAGAGTAACAAGAAGTGAGACCAAGTCCGTTGGTGCACATTAAAACCCGGATAATATTGCATTTATTGGTAGAAAAAACGATTGGCTAAAATGAACAATCGAAAATTAGCCATGTATATAAATGTATTCTGTACGTATGCAAATAGGATACTGCGCGAACTTATTTGGATCAGGTACTGTCCAACGATATACAATAAAGAGCTCTGTGTATTAAGCTTTATGCGATCGAAAGATACTGACAATACTATATATATGAATATAATAGACAACGTCGCCCGTTTGTGGCTTCGATTAACTAACTTGTTTGATACGTTTTGTTATACAGATAGAATATTCTATAATATTATTGTGCGCGAGAATCGCATTTTACCAAAGTTGTCTCAAAAACTACTTTACTAAGGAGATAAGAACTGCAAGCAGTTAGGTAGTGGACGGATAGCACAACTTTAATAGGATCGTTAGCATTATGGAAACATAGTTTCTGTAGTTCGTTACTGGACTCCTTTCCGCTCTATACTTTGCCATTAAGGCAATTTGATCTCTTTGGCCATGTACAACAGTACGGGACCAACAAAATAAGTTAGGCAGGGTAAATCCTGGACTACATAGTTTTAATCCTCGGTTACTACAGTCAACCAAGGCGAAAATGTTTTTTCTTGAATTCACTTTTCTCAAAAGCTCCACCCATTTTCCCTTTTTACCCTTCAGATCTCTCCATTAGCGCAGATCCCACATCTTGTTCCGCCATCATCGTCGTTTCCATAGTGGTTCCCCTCAATATTTCCTTAAATTCACTCTACCTTCTTCGACAAAAATGTATGGCTTTCCAAAACATGCCATTGTTCAGCGAATACGGAGATATATACAGCCGCTGTCTCTACAACGATTTCTCACCTATAGTCTAGATGACTATAGTCGAAGTGTGGTTATGAGGGCTATCTTATTACAAAAAAATTCGCCGGGATATGAGCCTAGAGACGCTTGGAATGGCCCACGCCGGTAGCTTGCTTTTTCCCTCGTTCGTAATATGCCTGCGCACTTCATGAGCGATGCAGTCGCATGTTTCAACAGGACGCAGCGAAGAACCAAACCACACTCAGGCCGGCTTCGCGCGACCGGGATACTAAGCGCTATGAACGACTTATTTTGTTGCCGCTTTAAAGCTGGCCTTCTCTTCCACTTTTAGATAAGAAGTAGCAGTACGGCCATCGGGTCCCTCACGATTCATAGCAGCACGGGCACTTAGACCACATGAAAAGTCTTGCTCCATTTCTTTTTTTCTGAACTTACTTTTATACGGCTTCAGAAGAGTTCTCGTTTCTAGGGCTCTCTTTGCTGTCCGTTACCGATGGCTGGTTCGATTGAACCTAGCAAAAGTAAAAATGGGAGAAGCTCGCCGCGACAGTGGCGGGCACTCTACAAAGTAGAAGCACGGTGGCAGGACCAAATTTAAAGTTCGCGGAGATAGTTGCAATGACAGAACTGAGCATGGCCTAAACAAGCAGGTTACTTCCTATCCCTGTAGTTCTATCTGCTGCGGCGGCGGCTCATGCTATATCCGTCCGTTTGCTGGCCCGTTTGCGCAGCTAGAGTTTGAGCACCTGCACTAGTGTATTGGGAGTATACAACAAATATATATCTGAGCGCTTCGTTTCATAGTGAAATCGGTCGCATGTTGTTCCTTATCGACTGGTCCGCCGACGACTTCCCAAGCTTTTCTGATTCCCTTAGTTTTTCTCTTTCCTTTTTTCTTTTCCTACCTTATTTTTTCCTCCGTTTATGTTCCAAGGGTGCGGATAAAAGATTGGTTGGTGAATGCGCGTATAAGAGCGACAGAGAATTTTTGCTTCGTCAGTGATGAGCCCTATAACGCTCTGGGTCTTTCTGCCATTATGCAAAGCAAGTTTGGCCTATACGTCCTGGGCATGGTCACAGCCGGCAGTAAGAACGTCTTTCTCATTACAATCACACCACTGCTGCCCGTTACCATTACCGCGGCCGCACTACCATCATGTGCCGTTTCGACCGTTGCAGAGGTACCGATCAAGCGGTATTTACCTACATCATTGTAATCTGCCCCTCCCACGCTTCATGCAACCAATTCACACAAACAGACGATAGAGTAATAGGGCCGACCAAGCCGACTCTTACGTAGAAGTGCCACTCTTTTATCCGAACCTCACTAGTTTTCGTCGCTTTCAGCGGCAGCGGGCTTTTCGTGGGTTTTTTCTTCGACCCAATGCTTTTTCTATTTTCCCATATCCCTGCTCCCTTCATTGCCACGGTATTTCTTGCTGCTTGAGTACACTCCGCACAATGGTAGCAGTAGTCATCCAGAAGCAGAACGCAGACGACTAGCCTCTTCCAGCACTCTGTTCTGTCAGCCTGAATGAGGCAGATTGTGTGGCCAGGAGCACCGCCATGAGGTACAAAAGTAGAGAGAGACACAGAAGGAAAATGAAAAAGGAAGATTTAGGGGGGGGGGGGGGGTCCTCGTTACCAAATAGGCCATTGCCATCTTCTATCTTCGTGACTCGAACAGTCAAGCTAGCTCTCTGCCTATCTGGCCTGTATTGCCAACCGGCCTATCCGTAGAAAACTCAATACGGGGTCTATCTGTATGGACCGGCCAAAACAACAGGATGGGCGGGCTTTTTGCTATTAACAGCAACGTGCGAGTTGGGCGATGAGCAAAACGGGCTCAGTGCTTACCAGCATTACAAACTGTATGGTCGAATTAACCAGCAATTTAATAGTCGTCAATGTAAGAGTGTTCGTATTCGTTTAAGCCGATGCATACTCGTAAATCGCATTAGAATGTCTGTCGAATACGATGTGTTTGATTGGTTGTGTAAATTTACTTTAAATCGATAGTTATAATTACGGCTCACTAAAACCTCAGTGGCGAGACGAGCTCGGACATGTACGTGGACGTTATATTTCATGGAAATAGAAAAACAGGTACAACAGCTACGCCGACCAGAATGTGTAATAATTTATCTCTATTTGCCAAACAAGTGTTAGTTCTCTTCTATTTATATTGAGTTAGTTTATAGCTAGTATAATTTTTTGTGCTTGCATGCGAGATTTTATGCAATTTCTTTCGCTATATTTATAAGAAAAATTTTCAATGTCGGCTTATAGAGCTGAGCACAGAGGTTAGCCACACATAAAAGGTAAGAAAAATAAAAACGTCAGGAGTTATAGGAATTACTGATACATATTTTCGACTTAATTGTAAAACTTTGAACGCTTATCAAAACAATGAGTTGCTTGCCACTCCGCATAGAGCTGATGACAGAGATGTCCTCTGGCGACCTAAAAGCAAACGCTGAATATACTTTGATTACAATCTGATACACAGTGATTCGCTGTGAACAACAACTTACATCATTCATTTAAATATATATATATATATATATATATATATATATATATATATATTAAATAATATCTAATGTAATATATATGTAAACGTTATTACCATAGATGTTCACGCTGGAGGCTAGCCACTCGTCTGATGGAACCCAAAAGCAAAACGAGACTGTAGTTCACAAGAATTCCTTGCCATCGTTGGCGTTTCCGAAAGTTTGTTTAGCTTCGCAGTTCTTTTTACGTTACATTCTTATCTGAAATTTTACAAACAAAAAATGATCGGATCTCAGAAACATTATATGTTACGACCGAACCTTCGCCGTTATACTATAGATAAGTCTAGCTGCTCCTGTGCATGTTAATCGGCCAGGGCCAAGTATACCTCCTTATGAGTACGCAGCGTCTGCTTTTGCGACGGAATACTTTTGACTAACTTCATCATCCCTAACGCTGTTGTAGATCATTAGCCACAATCACCAAGACATCGTCCAAACTTTGTTCTAGTATGACTGTACCCACCTCCCATTGGCCATTTGCTAGCGGCGTGTTACGATGACGGAATCACACAACAGCTTGTTATACGTACACGTATCAATGCTGACGCAGCGGAATCGCAACAGCTCGGAGGCTGGCAGGAAGCACTATTGAACATCTAACATTAAGGCGGGTGGGGCGCTTGTTCTTTCTCTTTGTATTGCTTTCGTTCGTATCGAAAAATAGATCTGTCTAAGTAGCGAAAGGAGGACAAGTTTCCCGCTATCCTGGTGCTACGTACACGTCTATTCTGTTCTACCCCGCTTGGCTTTGTCCTAACCTTTCTTTCGGCTCTCAATTCGTGCAGTGTCTTCTCACTTTTACCTGTCAATCGTCAATCAAAGGCAATGTCAATCGTGTTCGTTTATAGCTTTTGGTCAACTATTGGCTGTAAGTTGAGGGCGAAGGCCGGCGCTCAGTAGGGTGGACGGTTTGTATGTACCAGTCCGAGGCTACGATACCACTGCTGAAGGCATTGTGTTGACAACCGCTGACACCTCACCCACCAGGCGCTCCAATAACAGCCAACGGCTAATAGCGATTGGTTCCGGTGTCAGCCAAGACGCAGAAGGCCAATAATGGAACTACGCGGATCAAGCTGCGCATCGAGCTAGCCAAGTAATGAGCCACAACGTTTCGACTCCGTTGAACTTGGCAGAGGCTTACGGCATGCGTATGTCTGCGCCCGATCTTCCATTCGTGGCATACCTAGAGATTATTCGGGAGCGAGAAAGAGACGATGAGAGAGAGGGACGATGAAAAAAGCCGAACGAGCAGCTGGTCGAGTCAGGTGTGATACACGCCTATTATCCTATAGTAATGATGCCCGGAAACCGTTGAAGTATACGAAGTCGTTGCTGACAATAAATACTTCCAGTGCTCACAATGATAACGGCACTGGTGGACATTCGTTCGTCAAACTTCGTTTAGTGGACCTCTAAATTATAAGAATTTTTTTCTTTTTCCGAGAATGTCCTAGAAACAGGCAACTAAACTAGCTAAACGCTCAATGCGTTCGTCGGTAAGTTTCCATTCGGCAATTGATATCTGACCCATTTCAACAGCAACAAAAACGACAAGCCCAAAAAAGTTTTATTGACTATCAATGGCCAACTCCACGGTAACGGGCTGGATAACAACATATTGGCAAGGTCAACTGATTCCAAATTGGCTTCTTTTCCTTCTCATTCAATAGAATAACCGCATCTTCTACTATAAAGTGTGGTGCGTAGTACAGGGCCGTGTAGGTCGCCCTCTTAATCTAGAAGCCATTTCAGAAAATAGCCAATGTCGAATAAGGTTCGTGAAGTACGCTTGTAACAGTAGCACTAAGAATAACGAAGTGCTTTGCTCAATAAGCTGCTTTTAGTAACACGAAGCAGCACGAAAACGAACATTCCACGGCCACTGCTTTTACTGGTGCTACCGAAGTCGGCATTGCTGAATGAAGCCAACAAGCTTTGCGACTGCTCGGCACGACGAAGTGACTGTAGGCGCTGATGCAGCCACCGACGTTTCTGCACAAAAAACTAGGCGGCTCTCATGTAGCTTTTGGTGTATCCACGAAGGGCAGCGCGCAACGTTTCAAAATACTCCCCTGAGAAGCGGAAGGCTTCTGGCATAGGCAGTTTGGGTGGTTGACTGACTGACTGGCTGACATCACGGACACCAGCACAGACTACCCGCATCTGCGCTGCCGAGATAGGGACCCGGCATTCACGTATAGATGCACAGGTACTATTGAAGCTGCCATTACGGGTCAGAGACATTGCAACTCTGCTGGCTCTATGAGCAGATGGGTTGCCAATGAAGACATTTAGGGGAGAAGCCGGAAGGGGAGAACGAGGGATGCTGCAAGCTCGTGAATGCGGTTTCAATACAGATACAGTACGAATGGTACAGGAAGAGGACGAATCGAAAGGAAAGTCAGATTGGCAACATCAGGGATATGCAGGGAACGCTCCATTAGAGGCAAGTCGCAACCTGTTCTGTAAACCCCACGTCCCGCATGCCCCTCTTTGACGATAGCGAGAGAGACTTTCTATTGGTTAGACTATTCCACCGCCGGTAGCAGCATGTAGTAGAAGCAGTTATAGCATCGGCGGGGTAACCGAATAGAATCTTAAGGGCTCCCTACGCACCATTTGGCTCTGTTCACCCCAAATGCCCCGGTCAACGGATCCCGTTTTCCTGCTTCATCAGGTCCTATCTGCTATGCACTGCATCGTCCAAACTAGCGACTTGCCCTCCTTTCTCCACTTTTACCTCCAACTCCGACTGCCTCTCCCGGTCTAGAGAATCGACGACCCTCTGAAATAGATATGTCTTGTTTGTTCGAACCGAATTCGTCTCAGTGAACAGCTCATTCGCTCGGTTTTACCTTATCGCCCAGATGCCCTTCCGATTTGCCTCCTAAAACGAACTAGCCACGAAGGCAACGCTTTCAGCAGGGACGCCAGCAGTTGACTGTAGTGTTTCACAAGCTATACGCTATCCCTACATTTTATCTCATAGTTGAGCCTCTTTTCGTTGTTTGTGATTGAAAACGGGTGGAACGCTGAAAGCCAATGCGCATGGCAATAACAACGGCAAAGAGCAGGCCGCTTCGTGGCAGTACGAGCTACTTTTGTATTGCTGCTGCCACGCTTTTACTGCTAGGGTCGCGATCACTGTGCCATATATCGCCATCATTTGGTACAAATCGACATGAATATCAATTCTTGACGCCACATGAAGGGTACATTGTTTCCGAGTGCATGAGGACAATGGTCGTTACTGGCTGGACCTTCAAAAAAAAAACCGTTAGAAGCGTGCATGGCAGTGACTGTGGTGAAATATTATGATAAACTGTAGTGGTGTTTATATTTTGTGCGGAGGAGTTTATAGGGTCAAGTCGGAGACTATATATAGAATGATTTCCATATCAACGAAACGCGGAAAGATTCGAATATTTGGCATCACTGGTCATTTTAAACTTCCGCGCCATCTGTGTAAGCAGGCTGGCGAATTCAGAGGAGCGAAATCCCAGATTTGATATCGATTTGAGATTCAGGGCTATTTCTAAATTATTCGCGTTGTTAATATCACCGTGCAAATACATATGATTTCCGCTGAACTTACCGACCGTAATGAGTTCCGTGGCGTTACGGGCAGTATTGTCTACTGTAGGGGTGCTGTTATTAATACCTTTCAGACCATTTAAACAAAGCTCTTAAACTCGGTCAACTGTGGCTTACCTGCTTGTTATATTATTGTATTTATTTACTCACAAAACTTATTATTATTACTGTCACCCTGGTTACTAATAAATATTATGCCTGGTTGCATTTCTGCTCATTTTTTGTCATATATTGTCAAAAAGTATTGTCCACAGCTCGCTTTCTTGCACTACGTTCCGTCAATGGTACTGCATTTTAGTCTCCGTCCAGCTCTTCTGTAATTATTTTACTCCCTATTACATCGTCGATGTAGTGCTATAGCTGCCGCCGTTTGCAGCGCTATCTGTGTGGGTGTTTTTTTGATAGCATGCATTGGATCGACCAGTGAACGTTACGCTACACGCTATGTTGGAATGACTGTACATATAGGACATCCATTGGTGGCCATCGTTTTGCCCAGAGGCACTGTTCAGCGTTGTTCCATTACCAAGTTTTTTTCCCTACAAAAAACTCATGTCTTGTTTCGCGTATCCGAAGGAAGAACATCTCCTTCGTTGACTTTTTGACATATAGGGCTGTTGTCGACTGAGAAAAATTTGCCTTTAGTCACTCTCGAACTAGTGCGCTTGCCATGATTTGATTTTCGTCCTTCTAGTACCTCCTGCTGGAGTCGTTTGGCCTGTTCATATACTACGTACACACATATATATATATATATATATATATATATATATATATATATATATATATATATATATATATATATATGTATACAGTACAGGATGTCTCGAATTATTTAGTGTAAAAAACTTTATTCGGTTGTCCATGCTGAGTGAACGGTAGGTTTATGCTGTTTTTAGGCTGTTCCATAATATAATATTAGATTTCATTTGATGGTCGGAGTTTTTGGCCTTTGTGTGAAGTCTACGAAGCAATTTAGAGAACGGAACTAGTCTCGATCGCTTGATAACATTATGTTAACTTTGGGATTAACTGGGTCTAAACTGTTCAGGCCTTTTGAGGCCTAATGGAACATATCATTCATTTAATGACTTAAGTGTTTTTATAATCATTGTATATTTATTTAATGCTTCATTATTGATATTATTGCCGACAGAGATTGTTTAACGAATATGTATGACTGAGAATATGACTTTATTCAATTCATTAGTTCTGCTGCTAGCGTCCTATTTCTTTTGTGGCCGTCAAATTAGATAATTACTCCCTTCCGTAGATTTTTGCGCAAATAATTCCAATATTCTTGCCAAATTATTTGTTTCGGGGTCTTCTCTGCTCATTTTCTATTAGCAATAGGCGGGTAGTAACACAATAGTTATCTCATATTTTTTGTAAAAAAAAACCCGAAGCCTTAGGCTATTTTGGATCCTGGGCTGTCCTTTTTTCCTGGTTTATTTTCCCAATTATATTTATTAGTTATGTATCCCACGGCCCGTACCAACAATTTAGATATTTCCGTTGCTAATAAATGGCGTTTACTATGCCGTTATTATGCGTTGTCGATACAATTAGTGGAAGCGAGAGAAATTAAAGAGCGAATCTTCGGAGCAGAGGGCTAGTGAATTAAAGGATGGATAAAATAAACGGCTGAGCTGCAAAGTTAACGATCGTAGAAGTGTCTTCGAGCGTAAAGGGGCTTGTCACTGAAACCACGATTCTTAACTCGACGGTTGCAGAAAATGTGTACGCCTGAGCATGAACGAACATGCTTCTAATAGCCGAAGAAAAAGTTTTGGATAGAGTAGGCGTCGCGGAGTCACAATGGCCGGTCGAAATTTGTGGGGCTAAGCGCACAACCTCGTTACCACAAACCCTTGGCCTCTATGGACCGAGAAACACTGCGTGCCTAGTATATGGACAAGAATTAGTTGAAAGCACGGACGGAAAGTCCTAGCACTATAAGTTGTATGCTGGAACACAGATAGTGCAGCCGACTCGAAGGTCGACTGTTTGTGGCTAGATCATGAGAGGCAACAATATGAGCCGTTCTCACTTTAGACAGAATAACATATTACAGTTGTTCTTATATATATCGTTTACAGTTGTATCTTCGAGGTGACATATCACCATCGCACCTTCGCTCAACAAGAGAAAAGCTTAATCGGGTATTGTATAGGAAAAGCGGTTGATTGAACAACAAGAGGAGACCTAGCGAAACGTATTACAGCCATATTATAGTCGAAACCTGCCCGAGTCTTCTATAAAAGCTGAATACTTATGAAACATGTTTTGGTGGCTGACGATTATAAGATGTACACAGAGGTAGTCAGACGTGTCCAATAAAGATTTGTCAAACGTGTATGAATCAAATATAAGGTAGAAAGTTCGATAAATCTACAATGTGCCGGTATGAGAAAATTTAACGAATTGAGTACATGCGCAAACGATTCTAATGACCGGAATAACAATCCTTAAGGTGAGTATTGGCTGCTGCTGTTGTTGTTGTGTTACCATGACAGCCTAGCGGGTAACGCGTTTGCCTGCAAAAATCGAGAGATATATGGTGCGAATCCGGGTGTAAGCACGCTTCGTTTCCCGGTGAAAGCTAACTGTTAGAGCAACGCCTAGAACAACGGCGCAACTAATAAACAAAAGGCACAATAAACTTCTTTTTTATTGCTACTGCTGTTGCGACAACGAAGAAAGAAATGACCTCAAATTATATTAACGGATGATGTATTTGACCTGATTAACGTCGTCTACTTTGGGGAGTTTTTGTTCGCTTGTTGTTAAGTGTAAGCTGCAGCTGTTGGGATGGACAATCTCTCGATGCAATTCCCTATCGAGTATTTGTTCTCCTGATCAAGTGTACCCTTTCTTTTCACAGAGGGATAGGAGGAGTCTATTCCGGTACCGATCAAAGCTTGCGATGAGTCAAGAGTAATCTTTATGTTCATGTTGCTAAACTTGCGTTTGCACGCTGAAGAAGTGGCCAAATGCGGTGACAGCTTCGTTCTCATTGATGCAGACATGTAGAAAAACAGTGTCATCGTTACTATTATATCGTTGAACAATAGCATGATAACAACTACAAGTATCGGCGTAGATGCCCGAAGATAATAAGCTAACAAACAACTTCTTATTATCTTACCAACAATTAAATAGTGCACCTTTCAAAGTGGAGCATTTAAGGTTTGTCTGTTGAGGGGTTATGACTACAAAGATTAACATTCATGTTGTGAAAGATGTAAAAACAGACTCATCTTTCCCTACTAACTATCGATAGCAGATAAAGTTGCGCATATAAGTATATATATCAAACTGCAGAGACCAATCAAAACTCGAAAAGAACTATTTAGCGGCGCCCCTACCGACTAGGAAGTGCATGATGTATCGTTTATTTTTTTACTGTTTGAAATGTAGTTAATCGGAATGCATCAAAATTAACTCTGAAAAAAAATAAAATGTTATTACAGATATGAAAAAGCAAGAAGCTTCAGCCAGATTCACTAACGTGGCTTATTATTAACTGTCGGATAAGAACAAGGTTGGAACTGTTTAGGACGTTTATCTATAAACATCATTTTGGGATAAGGACATCGATAACCTCAACAAGTTTCGAGTAACGAGTAGTAAAGAGTTCGTAAAGGGCAGTACCACCACATTGCGGAAATCTATTTGCGAAATTTAAGGACCCGACGAAGATCACAGAAGTAAGAGCGATCAGCTCAAGTATCTATCTGAAGAACAAACCGTTTTCAAATAAAATCCTTGAAATAAATTCAGAATGATCTTTGAGAAAAGACAGATGACAATCACGGAATTCATCGCCACCCTAAAAGGACACGTTCAACTATTAGAAGACCATTTCTTCAAAGCATTCTTGGTACCTAAACTAGCCAAAGTCACATGAGGAAGTAGGAACTTGTAAAGCATTGACTGATGCGATAAGCAAGCACTGTAGGCTAACATGCAGTATAGTAAAGCCAGCCGAATCAAATAAGAGCCTACATTGAGATTACAGTAGGATTCTGGACCATGGCGAAGGAAATAATTCGAGCAATCGAAAAGCATCGTAGTGTAATTGCTGCCGCTGCAGTAAACCTGGGCATGCAGCATGGCCGTTTAGTAATCTCGTATACTCGAAGACGTACCTAAAGAACCGTATCGCGATAGGATGTAAGTTGAAAATCTGGCCTCAAAAAATAACATAACAACGTAATCCAGACATCGGAGCTCTGTCTGAAAACAACTGCTTCCCTTTGATGGCTGAAGCTCTCTGAACCTCTATTCGACAGGCATAGGACCCGCTTGTTGCTTCCGTTAAAGTTGAAGACCGAAATACGAACGAAAATACGAAATACGACGAAATACGACGAAAATAGGAACGCAAGTATGAACTATGCCCCTTTATACATTCACAAATTTTTGACATTTACAGCCTTTCAGTCAGATGCTATTTTTACTGGGTGATAGGAAATTCCCTCTACCTATAAGAGAACATAGATAGAGACATCGGACACTGATGTTCTAAATTGCCATAATATAATGCTGAAAATAATGATAAATGATTTTTAGAAAACCATATTTTATAGATTAAACACTGTTGCTATTTTGTAAACGTTGCTATTTTTGAAAACAACCCAGACCAAATTTTGCCAAATTACGGGAAGTCCCATATAAGGAATGAGTAAACGCAGGAATAATGTAACCCATAATGTTCAGCGATTGGGCGCATCTGGTCGTTCACCAAGGAAAGTCAGGTGGCATTGCCCGTCTCTATGCTAATTGCAAAACAGGAATTGATCAGCTGGTCTTCCTAGGTACATAACAATTTCCTCGGACTAAGAAAACATTTGAGTAATTTAGTTAAGAGAAATACTACAACACATCAGACACCCAGAAGCACCGTTTGTCTGATCGTAAAGAAGCGTATTCATTGCAAGACAAGTGACGAGACTAGCTTGTCGTATCCACGAATGTTTCTACTATATTCTTATATAAACAAGTTTCAAAAATGACCTAATTACGCAGTTCAAAATCAGTCAATTATCGAGGCGCACCGTTCGGTGACGGTTCGTT